CCACCCTGCGAGAGAAGAATCATTCTAGAGCGCCACGGCATTAACACAGCCTTCCTTTTCTCAATGCCTTCTCAAAGAAGGAATCTCGAGTTTGTTGTTCATACCTTCAGTGACGACTCTGACCCGGGCCTAAACACTCGCACTCCTGAAGGCTCCTTTGCCACCGCACAAGAAGTCATGAAGATGAATGCAGTAAGCTTTCTGCATCAGCACTTCCTCGATTGCACCAACGCCCCAAAGCCGTTGCCCAAAATATATAGAATCATCGCTTTCGCCCTGACCCGCCAAGAAACAACTTCTTTCCACAAAGCCCTGACGGCCGCATATGCACAAGGAAGTGTTGCCCACTCCAATCAACGCATCGCAGTCGAGCCGCTCATATATCATGCCGGCCTCACTAAAGAAGCTCGCGAAAAGGCCCACAACGACTGGACAGCAAACGAAGAGCTCTACGACATCATAACAACCAAGGACCTCGTACCTTCAACTCTGTTCCGTATTATGGTTTGTACGTCCGCCTTCGGTACCGGAATAGATGTTCCAGATGTTCGAGCAACAGTTCATCTTGGCGCCGCAAGAAGTCTCGTCGACTTTGCACAGGAGAGTGGCCGGTCTGGACGCGACGGACACCACGCATTCGTCTTCGTCCTAAACTCAACCCAGTACAATAAGAGCTTCGAAACCTCCCTTCCCAAAAAGGGCAACATTGACGAAAATGATCTCGCAGTAACGAACCGAAACGAGATGATGAATTGGGTCCTCAATACCACGGATTGCCGCAAAGATGCACTTTACACAGCCATGGATGGCCAAGTCTCTGGTGTCTGTCGCTTCGACAAGCACGCAGTCTGGTGCGGTGTTTGCAGATCCATGTTCCCCTCCCAGCCAACTAATGCACCGCACACCCCTCAGAGTTCACAATTTCACACACAGAATACTTCTAGACCTTGGGGTGCAAATTCGCAATCCCAGTCTCAGCAACATTTGCTTCCCACCACACCATCGCAATCGCAGTTGCCACCTCCACATCAAGATCAAAATCAAAACCATCTCGAGCCTCAACGGCAAAACCAAATCGGAGCCACCACATCCACGCAGCACAACTTCGATGAAATGCTCCTCTTGCTTGAGCAATCCGCTCCAACCAACCCCCCTCCAGCCCCTCCAGTTCGAAGAATCCTTAGCTTCTCCCCACAACAATCAAGTGAACGCTTGCTGCCTTCAGCATCACCTTCAATGCAGCAAGCACCATTTCCAGTCCGTCCACGGTCACTTCCGACGGCGTCACCATCTTTGAAGCAAGTCCTTTCGGGCAAACGGCCCGCATCACTTCCACCATCGGGAAGAAATTCATTCAAGAGCTTACGAACTTCTCCCAGTATGGCGCGCCAAACCCAACCTAATGTTCTCACAAACCCTTTCCCTTCCCCGTCACCTCCCCTATCGTTGCCATTTAGTCACTTCCAGGCAATTGACACCGAATCCACGGTACAGTTAGTAACTCAATTCCTCTTCCTAACCAAGACGACGTGTCTCTTATGCCACATTTCTCCCCGCCGTTCCGGTACGGAACATCCTCAGAATGACTGTCCATTCATGGAAAGAAGCTGCTATGCCTGTTTCTCTACGACCCATTTCGTCCCGTCTTGCCCCGTCCCAAGAAAAGTCCCTCTCAAGTGCTATGATTGCCGCCTCTCGCACTGCCTTGGCCAACCACTTCACCCCACATTCGGCCAATACGGTCGTTGCGATCTACGTCCTATGATATCACTCGCCTGGAACCTTTGGCGAATGAAGTCTTTCCAGCAACAGATCGCTGAAAACCTGTTCCCTTCCGAAATCCTTTGCCGCTTCAACTCCGTTCTCCGTGACCGCCCGGCCCGGGTCACTGAAAAGGACTTAGCCGTCATCTTCTCGGATGCATCCATAGAGTCCGCTGACGAGAATAACGACGATATGCCTCTGACAATATGGCTCCCACTGGCTTGGGCCATACATCAAGGTCTTCTCCAACTGGACTGCCAGTAGTTTTCGATATCCACATACTGCAGTATTAGGACCACATTTTCAATAAACTCAACGATAGAAAGCTTCAATCTTCTCGAAAACGGAACCATTCACATGTCACAGCGATCCTCACATTTCCATGTGCCCGTGCGATCACTACCCGCCGTTTTTGTTGAATCATTCATTTATACATCTTCTACGTCGCGCCATATCCAACTGCTATGCTCAGCAATTGTGCCGTTTTGCTGTTTTTCCACTACACAAACAACCCCACAAAATTTACACTTGTGCTTTCGTAACGGCCATCTACTACAGAAGTAGCTGAAACAGAAAAGAAACATGCAAACGCACCGTTCAGGCCCCTTGCAGGACGCGTCTTGCGAGTAGCCCTCTCCAAAGTATCATTCTCCCACCCTTCCAAAACGCATCGTTCTTGCGCCCCTCCAGAACGCATCATGGGCGCACCCCTCTCGAACGTATCATTCTGGCACCCCTTCAGAACGCATCGTGGGCGCACCCGTCCCGAACGTATCATTCTCGCACCCTTCCAAAACGCATCGTTCTCGCGCCGCTCCAGAACGCATCATGGGCGCACCGCTCCCGAATGCATCAATTTGGCACCCCCTTAGAACGCGTCGTGGGCGCACCCCTCTCGAACGTATCATTCTGGCATTCCTCTAAAACGAATGATGAGCGCACCCCTATAGAACACATCACGAGCGCACCCCTCTCCAACGTAGCATTCTGGCACCCCTTCCAACGCATCATTCTCGCACCCCCTCAGCTCGCACTCTAGACGCACCTCTTCAGAACGCATCGTGCGCGCATCCCTCCCCAACGCATCTCTGACACACCCGTCCAAAATGCGTCGTTGAGGCAACGATCATCGAAACCTGCATACGGCGCTTTTCAATTTCGCGCAGTAAATAACTTAGAAAGCTTTGATGTTCAGGACATGAATTACGCCGCCTTATTATGTAATTCGTACATGCGCATTGGGACACTGTTAGTGCAGTATAAGGCCCTGCCACTAAATCTGTCTGCTGTAATTGCCCCCCAGCACGATACGTTTTGAGCATCTGACAATCTTGGCAGACGAGGGACATGGTACATGATAAAATATGAAGTTAATAATATTGCTCATGCGCTTCTAATCGCACACGGCTAAAACTAGATTTTGCGCACTGACATTTTATTGGCTGTGCGCCGCTGTCGCTAAACTTTTAGTCAGAAATTGCCAACAGCAATGTTGCAAATACAGCGCGTATGGTGGTGCCGCCGTGTAAATCGGCCTAAAACGTATCGTCCCACCAGAAAACTGTCGCCGTAAAAACCGCCCGGCACGATACGTTTTGGGCCATATACCGTAGGCAGTACCAAAATCGCACATACGTCGAATCAGGCCTGGACGATACGTGTTTTGTCATTACGTATCGATCTTGACATGTGCCCAAAACGTATCGTCCCGCGGGAACTGGCGCCGGAACTAAACATAGGACACGTGCCATTTAGACTCCGCGTAGCTCGGTGGACATGTCATGTGCCTGGCGTGCAGACCCGCTTCACCAGAGTGGTGATGTCCCATGTTGGCATGCGATGTTGGCATGTGCCGACAACGCAATAACAAGTCGCAAAACCATTGCAAGAGATCTCTACAAAATCTACTGGCGAGGGGCACTCACCCTATACTGTCAGAGGTACTCCCCCGTCAAGGTACTGAGCTCATCTGCAGCGCTAAGCATATATGTGTAAGCGTTGAAGCATGTCGTTGCTGCCCACTCTGTGCCACGACGAAGAACGTCATACATGAAAACGGCATCCGACCACATGTGGGAGAGCGAGAGAGAGAGAAAGAAGGAAAGAAAAGAAAGAAAGAAGGAAAGAAAGGAAAGAAATAAGGAAAGAAAGGAAAGAAAGAAGGAAAGAAAGGAAAGGAAGAAAGGAAGAAAGGAAGAAAGGAAGAAAGGAAAGAAAGAAAGGAAGAAAGGAAAGAAAGAAAGAAAGAAAGGAGAGAAAACAACGTGTTGTCACCGCCACTTTTCCGAATCCGAACAATTTCCCATAGTCACTAACGGCATCGCTGACCCGTACAATCATCTTACGCCTTACCGGCCGGGCTGAACAAACCGTTCGCCTCATCTCATGTCTTGTCGAACGACACGAAGCATGGCGATGATATTAAGAGTCGTTTCTCGGGAGGAGTGTATTTTGTGTCTCTGGGGGAAGATGCAAACGGAGGGCGAGTGTCAGAACGGCTGTACACGATCGTGAAGGCGTCCGGTGGCAGCCGAACGGCTCCAAAAATGCGAGAGCAGAGCTATTGTGGCAGGGTACTAACCAAGGCGCAAGCATGGTTTAGCACACACGTATGTTTTAGTAACGTTGATGATATGTATGTTCTCAACGATATAAACACGGGCATTCTTCAAGAGTTATCAATCCTGGCAGACACTGCTGGATGCAGTGGGAAGAAGAAAAGGAGATTATGCACGGCCGCGGCCGCAGATACGGCGTGTTTGTGAATGTGTGGGGCCAGCCGGTGGAAATTTGGTAGAGCAGATTGTCTTCCTATATCGCTATCACTGAGGCATCGAAATCAAGATGGACTTCGGCGGTGGAGTGTATGGATGTCAGGTGAAGTTGTGCGGGCTAAAAGTTGCATTTTTCACGCATTTACTTGAGAAGGAGACGAAGGTGATTCGATTGGAGTGCGACCTTGAAACAGAGAGTACAGGTTCAAGGAACATTGAGGGAAGCAAGCGCAAAAGGAGCAGGGGTGTGAGGAATTGTTCCGGGTCGTGTTCTTGAAGTGAAAAATCCGAAGTGACTGGAGGAATAGCAAAGGTGACGAAGGGCAGCTGCGTGACTTTCTGCGAGAGGAAAGGGTATGTGGTTGTCGGAAATGAAGATGGGACGCAGAAGCTGTGGAGTTTATATGAGGGGAAAATACTGATAAGTTTCCGCCGTCATGAGTCGGCGTGGGTGGCGTTGCAATGAGTGCAGACGGAAAGTGTGTGGTATCTGAATCGGAAGACAAGAGCGTGCGGATGTGGGACGTGGAGACGGGAGCACAACTCGAGGATGCATTAACTAGACACACGGGAATGGTGATCAGCTTTGCGATGAATGTGCCCAGAAGACGTGTGGTATCTGGATCCGGAGACGAGAGCGTGCGGGTGTGGGACGTGGAGACGGGAGCACAAGTCGGGGACGCATTGAATGTGACAGAGCGCACAAGTGATACTACATACCACTGTGGAAGAAGTGACACGTGGAGCGCCACCAGGTCGACAGTGAGTTGCACGGGGCTCTGCCTCCAGCACAACCCCGTGCCCAGCGAAGTAGTATAAGTAGAGATGTGATGCAAGATCGATGGCTCGGTTTACTGTGATCGCGTCTCTATCTACCTTATGTAGGGATGGTAGCGATCCGTAGGCCGGCGGCGATCGTGGTGAGTTGATCGCTGTTGTACGTGTGCTACGTGTGTGTATATGGCTCTCATGACTGCTGACGCATTGCTGTTGCGGCGTCGACGTTTGTTTTTATGGCTCTCATGACACTCCCCCTGTCGACGGCGCTGCAGTTTTGCCGTCTGCAGTCGTGTGGTTTCTGAGGTGTAGTTTGGGGAGGAGGCGCGTGTATGCTTGACGACGCAGCGGTTTTGTGAGGACGTCCGCGAGTTGTTCGTCCGTGGGAACATGTGCAATGGCAATTGTGCCCTTTTGGGCTTGATGCGTGAGGTAGTGATGCCTCAGATCTATGAATTTTCGCCTCTTCGTCGGTCCCGTGCTGTTGGCAACGTGGATGGCGGACTGGTTGTCTATCATCAAGGGGGTCGGGGATTGCGGCAGCATGTGCACGTCCTGTAGCAGACGTCGGATCCACGTGGTCTGCTGTGCGGCGGAGGTGGCCGCAATATATTCTGCCTCACAGGTGGATAAGGCTGTGATGTTTTGCTTGAGGGACCCCCAACATATCGGTGTGCCGTTATATGTGTGGAGGGTCCCCGATATGGACTTCCTGTCCGTGATGTCGGCGGCGAAATCGGCATCGGCATACGAGACAAGGAGGTTCTGGGGTTTCTCTTTGTCTGCTTGCTTGCCGGCTCGGAACGTGAGGCCTGTGTTTGGTGTGCCCTTGAGGTACCTTATCAGGCGTTTTAGTGCGTTCCAGTGCCTTTGCGTCGGGTTGTTGGCCGCTACTGCTAGTCTGTTTGCCAGGAAGTAGATGTCTGGTCGCGTCGAGTCAGCGACATAGCGTAGGTCCCCAATGATCTGCTGGTATTTTTTGAGTGTGTGCAGTTGGGTCTCGTCTTTGTCTGTTGGCTTGTGGAGCAGGACACCGTCGCAGTATGGGGTGTCTTTAGCATTGCATTTGGCCATGTCCACTTGCTGTACTCTGTAGTTGATGGCGTTGGGCTGGGAGATGTGAATGTCTCCATTTTGGTGTCGTGTCACCGTCCATCCGAGAAAAGTCCTGTGTTCCCCTAGGCGTTTGATGTTGTACGCTTTCGCTAGGGCTGCGGCGAACTCGTCTTTGAGTTTCGCGGTTGAGGCGAGTACTGTGAAGTCATCCATGCTGACAGCAGCAATTATATGTTCTTTGCCTTTTTTTTGGACCAGAGGCACAGGTCTGCTTCGCTTTGCTTGAAGTTGTCTTTTCGTAGGAGTGTGAAGACTGCAGATAGGTATGTGTGGCCGGCGGATGGCGTCCCGTATATGTTCATGTTTAGTTTTCCGCCTTGGCAGGCATGTTTGTATGTGCCATTGAATCTGGCATGCTGTCTCACATATACTGTTTCTTCTCCGTTGTGCGCAAATTTTTCGTGTAGGTACGCTGACTTGATATCGATGTGTTCGATGTGCATGCGGTACTTGGCCGCTATTCCAAACATTGCGCGTACTGTGGTCTTGTCGGCCATGTACGTTGTAGTTTTGGATGGGTCGTAGTGCTTGTGTGGTAGCATTTTGTCCCCCCTTGCAGAGCATCGGGCTTTTCTCGATGCAATTTGTCCTTTGCTGTCCCTCTTGTAACGATATCCCATTTTTAGGGGTATCAGTTTCCGTTTCTTGGGGATTTCGGAGTCGGGTATCCACTGTACTACGTTCATGGCGTCGAGGTTGTCGAGTTCGGCGTTGTGGGCTTTTTCCCATTCGGCAGCGTCGGGGTATTTTTTGGCTTGTCCGGGGTGAGCTGGGGCGGGTGTGGTGCCTGTTATCTCTGTTAGCGTGCGATGCGGGGTGAAGGCTTTCGTGGCGTATGTGCGTGAGGCTACAGGATCGGTGGTGCTGTGGTATGGTTGGAAGTTGACGCATCGAACTCGTCGTGGTCTGTTCGTGTCGAGTTCGAGGACCATGATGTAGTTTTCGTCGATGCCATGGAGGTACCTGGCGGGTGTTGCCCTGTGGGCGAGTTTTGATATTTGTTTCCGATTTGCTAACTCAGGTACTGTACCGAGCTGTCCGAACAGCAGGAACTGCGGGACGTCGGGGGTGGCATTGGTCCACATGGTGTAGGGGAGGGTTTTGATCCCGTGGTGGAGTATATTGTTGTACTTGAATGCAGCGTCCCTTACTGCGTCTTCCCAGTGCGTCTTGGGTAGTGAGCTGTGGTGGAGGGCGGCTCTGGCTGAGTTCATGAGTGTATTGTTTATCCTTTCCGCGATCCCATTTTGTTGGGGCGTGTGTGGGACTGTAGTGCTGTGCATGACGTTGTGCGATCTGTATACGGCGCTGGCGCTGTCTGATACATATTCTTTCGCGTTGTCTGTGTGGAACAGTCTCGGTTTGCACCCTTTTCGTTTTTTGAGGGCTGTGAGGATGACATCCAGCCTGTGCGGTGTTTCTGCTCTTGATTGCAGGAAGTCGACTATGAGGTAGCGGGATCGGGTGTCTATTACTGTGAGTATATATTTGTTGCCTTGCCTGGATGTGGGGTTGAATGGTCCACATATATCACTGCTAAAGGCGGCTCCTACTCGGTAGTTGTGCGTCTTGGGGTAGTGCGGTGCGGGCTGCTGCTTCGCTGCAGCGCAGCTCGAGCAGGTGATCCGCGGTGGTCGTTGCCTGAGTGTGGGCGGGAGGTTTGGCAGGAGGCCGAGTTTGGCCATTTTCTGGAGCGTTGTTGGTCTGATGTGATTGAACAGTACATGATAGTGGTGGAAGTCCCTTTCTACAGCTGGGTGTGCTGGGGTGTGCGGTGGGGGCGCTGGGTTGTGCATTTGGTGTAGTGGGATTTTTTCTGCGCGTGGTGCGGTGTGGCCACGTGCTAGTGTGCGGCTTGGCTTTGGCGCCGCTGTCTTCTTTTTTTTGTTTTTGGATTGGGGGCTTTTTTGGTTTGGGTATCGGGTCTTTTGGAATTTTTTATTGACCGTGGTGGTATGTTCCGGGCTGCTATGCCGTTGCCTTTGGTTTTTGGGAGATCGAGGTAGTACATGCCTTTCCTGAAGCGTGCTTGCGCTACTATTTGTGGCGGGTGTGTGCTCGTGTCGAGTACAGTGGCCTGTGTGGGTGTGAACCGGACCTCTCCCCATTGCTCTGCTATGTCGTGAACTGATAGCAGGTTGGATCGCATTGCTGGGTTGGCGATCGCTGGGACTCGTATGTGCCTATTCGTACTGGTCCGTATATGGATCATCCCCTTGTGTGTGGCGGGTGGCGTGATGTTGGTGGCCGTGTTAGTTCGGATGATTTGTCGGAGTGGTTTCATGTTCGTCGTGGGTTTGCGAACATGTGACGGATGCGCTCCTGAGTCGAGGGCATACTGCTTACCTTCGCATATATCCTCGTCAGTCACCTGTTGCGCGGTTGTGTTGTCGTGTTCGTCGCGGGTGCTGGCCATTTTCCCGGTGGTGGTTTTGGGCGGCGGACGTGTTTGCCGAGGGGTTATGCGCTTCTTATCGGTACTTGTGTGCCATTGTTCCGCATTTTCCCTTGTGGCTGCATTGCCGCGTTGGGGTTGATCGGGGTGGGTCGTTGATCCTCTGCCTTGCCTCCGGCTGCGAGTTCGTCGTCTCATTGCCTAGTAGTTGGGGCTGTCTGCCCATTGGTCTGTCGTATTCGTGCCTTGTGGACGTTGTTGCCGGATTTCCTGTTTTTCGTCTTCTCGAGCTTGTATGGATTTGAGTCGTTGGACGAGGTTGGCTATGGTTGTGGGGATTGTGTTGTTCGCGATCCACATGTCGGGTAGGTGTTGCAATGCCGGGTGCGAGTTGAGGCCGTGTATGATGAATTCTATCGTGACAGATTCATCATGTTGAATGCTGGGGTACTCTGCGAGACACATTTTTGTCCGTATGGTTCGGTGTGCTGCGATGTATTCATCGATGTCCCCTCCCGCCTTGATCTTTGTGCGTTGTGCTTCTTGTTTGAGGATGAGGTGTGTGGTTGGCGTTGAGTCAGTGAAGTGTGTTTTGATCTCTGCCAGAAGCTGTTGAGGGGTAACGCTGAGGTCCATGTCGATTGTGCTTGCCAGGTCCGCAGGGAGGCTAGTCATGATGCTCATGCGTAGGAATGCACATTTTCTGCGGTATATAGAATGGTACGGGCTCGTTACTGTGGGGGGTGGTGAGCTTTCGTCGAGGGCTGCCTCGACGTTGTTGATTATTGCTATGTCGTGGAGGGTTTGCGTCCATAGCTTGTAGTTCGTTCCGTCGCTTGCGAGTGGAGGTAGCTGTCCGTGCATTCTTGTGTCAGCTTGGGGCATTTCGGGTGCTATTTCTTGCTGGTTTGACATTTGTGGGCGCTCTGCAGGTGTTGTCGGGGCGTGTTGTGTTGGCTCTACGGGGGTGATCGGAGCTTGGTGTTGTGGCTCCACGGGTGTGGTCGGAGCGGATTGTGTTGGCTCTACGCTTGCTGGCGGAGCTTGTGGGGTTGGGGCAACGGGGCTTTGTGGTGCCGTGCTATCGTTGTCCTGATCTCGTCCGGGTGGTCGGTATACGAGATGATCGTCTTGTAGTGGTGCGTGGTTAGGGTCCATAACCTGTGATGCAAGATCGATGGCTCGGTTTACTGTGATCGCGTCTCTATCTACCTTATGTAGGGATGGTAGCGATCCGTAGGCCGGCGGCGATCGTGGTGAGTTGATCGCTGTTGTACGTGTGCTACGTGTGTGTATATGGCTCTTATGACAAGAGACAGAGGAAAAGGCATGAGTAAAAGGGTCACCGGATTCCTGGCTTTCACAGAATGGACATACGGGTCCGATGGCTAGCGTGATGATGAATGTAGACGGACGGCGTGTTGTATCTGCATGCTCAGACAAGATGGTGCGGGTGTGGGACATGGAGAGGGGGATCACAATTCATTTTTGCGTGAAAGAAGACTGGGATGATATCACAAATCGATTTCTG